CGGACACGAATATCCGAAACAAAAGCACTATGATAAGTCAGGCGAGCAATGAAATCTCGGGGACGTTGCTGAATAAAAATCGGCCGTCCCGAGGCGAGGCTTACGAGTCAGGTTTTGAATGATTCCGGAGGTATGCGAGGGGCTCCCGCGTTTCTCCGGTCTACTTCGCGATTCGGACAAAATATACTCGCCGGCGTCGCGCGAGCGGATAGTTTCGTCGTCGCTGCGCCCCAGCCAGCATGATTCTTTTATTTTAGTTTCGATCTTGTTCCCGGACACGGGCACACTCAATTTGACCTTCCATCTCCGCCGCCCTTCTAGCGTCTATTTTCACCCGTTTCGGACGGTAGACGAGGCAAGAGAGCGAAGAAAGAGAAATAGCAAGAGAGAGTCTCGGCCGAGGGGTCGGGGGCCAGACAGGGTGGACAGAGAAACGACTTGAAGCTTGAGAGAGGAGCAGGGAAAGTAGAAGAGTTACTACTCTATAGCGGTGGACGAGGTGGCCACATATGGCTAGCGATGGACTCGATACTCTCTCGCGCGCGCGCGCGCGCCAGGGAAATACGTCACAATTCTGACCGAATATTCAAGCGAATATCATCCTTCGATAGGCGAATTTCGGATTACAGTGCGATAAACTTGATGACGCGTGTGCGTATATAGTTTATAGGGGAATATTTATAAGGCAAAAGTTTGCTTTCACAGGAGCAAGTTCAGAAGATCGTGTCAAAATTATAGAGATATAATGTATAAACCGTCGTGGAATAATGGTGTAAAGTATACGTGAATTTTATGTGATCGAGTAGCGCGAGAAAGGGAAAGAGAGAGAGAGAGAGAGAAAGAGATGATATCGATTTCGCCCCATCGCTACGAACGGTTCGCCCACCCCCGCGTGAGACGTGGGATTGCAGAAGTTTGGTGCTCGTCCAAGAGATGACTATCCTAACTCTCCTCGGGTAGCTCGTCTTATCTTATCGCGCCGCCGATAGATAAGCACTCTCGATAAAGCCCGGCGAAGAAATGACGGCGCGATTCGCGTGGATGCAGCCGCCACTCCTTAATTAAGTTCGGACAGCCGTTTATTCGGTTTATCGTCTTGTTTGCCGTACCCACGACTTCCCGGCGCGATTACGTGCGTTCGTGTCGGCCGATGCAGCGTCATCGCGACGGAAAACGCATCGTCAACGCTCGTGTACTTTCAACAACGTACTTCTTGCGACGGAATTATTTTGCCGGACGACGCTGAGATTTGTTGGAGAGATTCAAACGGGCCGATCTCCGAGAGAAGAGTAATTTTTGCAAAAAATTTCCCCGGATAACGCATTGAATTGTGAACAACGACAAAAAGAAAACAATTCCTTACTTGTAGCGCTTATCGCTGTTACGTAAGATTTTAGATCCTATTCGTTGGATAGATTCGCAACCAATTACTTTGCATGATGAAAGTGGCTCTCGGACACGAGATGTCACGCGGATAAGTATCGAAAGTATCCAACAGTAAAGGTCGGAGCTTACACGACGTCCTCCCAAATTGATTACGCGGTATCACGTAAGAGGCGGTCTTACGTGCGCGCCAACCGTGACGAATCCCTTTTCGCAAATTTGAACGATAGCGAGGACAAATTATGCGCATTACGAAAAGTGTCCCCGCAAGAACAGTAGCCACGGGCGACGGGTTGCGGGGGATGAAACGTCGGTACGGGAGCCGCGGATGAAAGATGGGCCCATTGTGCCATCGTAAATACAGGGAAGCGGCCCGTCCGAAATAAGGGCATATTTCAGCTTCTGTCCAGCAATCACCGCTGCTTCTCGGCTTCACGGTCGTGTGCTGCTACGAATATGGGTGCGGTAGTGAAGATGGCCAGTGTGGGGAGGCCAGAGAGGACGTCAGAGAGGACGTCAGAGGGGGAGAGTCGAGACGAGAGAAGGACGGGTCTGAGCGAAAAGGAAGAAGGAGCGAAAGGGGG